GGAGTTATTTCTTGAGATGTGGGCAGGTAATGGAAACCAATGAGGGAGAGAAGAGTGCCCTTGGACTCTCACCAGCAGGGAGCTGTTCCTCCCCACCAAAGTGGTCAAGGGTGAAAGAGCCCTTATAAGAGTCAAGTAGGCATTTTAATAAAGGAAACTGGCGGGGCAGCCTGCAGTGGTCAGCTTCCTGGTGCACAGAGTAGACCATAGAAGGACGGAGAACCCATCTGAAATGGCAAACAGAAAATAACCAGCACAGAGTCTGGCATTAGATTATTCAATCTGTTACCATGTTCAGTTAATTAGTATCCAAAACCTAATAGGTGTGAAAGAAAAGTTAGGGATCATGCTAGCATTTTAGTTTTAATCCTTGAACTAAAAAGTTTCCAACCATCAGTGAGGATCTGGGAGGGGGGAAAGAATGACCTATTTCTGCTTCCCAATCACACCCAAAAGTTAGTGCTCACTGGTCTTTTGAATGCTCAGTGATGTGAGCAAGAGCTTCCAGGTGAGACCTGATATAAGACCCTCTTTGGGAGAGTCTTTTGCCCTCCAAAGTGCTGCTATTTATTGGACAAATATTGAGTCCAGTGCAGTGTCCACTTGCAATATTTTGCATGCAAAAGAATTTTCTAGGCCACCTGTGGTGGCTTGCGCCTATAATCCCAGCACTTTGGGAGGCCAAGGCGGGTGGACCATCTGAGGTCAGGAATTCAAGACCAGCCTGACCAACATAGCAAAAACCCCATCTCTACTTAAAAAAAAAAAAATATTAGCTGGTTGTGGTGGCACATGCCTATAATCCCAGCTCCTCTGGAAGTTAAGGCAGGAGAATCACTTGAACCTGGGAGGCAGAGGATGCAGTGAGCCAAGATCGAGCCACAGTACTCCAGCCTGGGCGACAGAGTAATACTGTGTATCAAAGAAAAAAAAACGAATTTTCTTATTAAGCTCGTTTAGCCATCATTAATCCATACCCCTCATTTTGGTCCTGAACTTTTGACAAAGCCTTCCCCAACATTTCTATTCTTCTGGCATTTCTCCCTTCAAATCATATCTCCCACAGAACCATCAGTTTATTTTATCTAGAAAAATAAATCCCTGCTTAAAACCTTGCCCTGGCTCCCATTATCTATAGTGTCAAGTCCACACCCCAAGAATGGACTCCCAGGTACCTCTGCAGCCTCTCTTCTCTACTCTCTGCCTTGCCCTTTAAATAACTACCATGTTGGCACTTTTATTTATGTGTCTATTAATTTTTTTATTATCATTTTTATAGAGACAGAGTCTCCCTATGTTTCACAGGTTGGTGCTAAACTCCTAAGCTCAAGCAATTCTTCCATTTCAGCCTCCCGAAGTGCTGGGCTTACAGGTGTGAGCCACTGTGCCTGGCCGTGTCAGCACTTCTCTTCATGTCTTTCCAGGAACATGAGACCCTCTTTGGCCCCCATGGCTGGCCCGCCTGTCTCCCAAGGGTTATTTTGAGAAGCAGCTCAGAAGTAACAACTCTAGGCTGCCATGCTGAGATGCTCTCTAGGTCTGACTGTTCTTCAACACAGAATTCTCTGCATCACATTGAAATGCCTCATCTCCCACCTTCTCTGGGAACACCGTAAAGCAAGAACCATGTCCTATTCATTGAACAATCAATAATCCTCCCCAGTACAGTATGTGATAAGAATTGGCATTCAAAAATACATGATGAACTAAACTTCCCAAAAAGAAGTGTTCCCTTAGAGCAAAGTTCCTTAGGACATTAGACTTTTTTTTTTTTAACTCTGTAGGTATACAACCTATACAGGTATTTTATTACTGTCATTAGGTTTCTCTATATATTTTTGTTTTATTTTGTTTTGAGATGGAGTCTCACTGTGTTGCCCAGGCTGGAGTGCAGTGGTACAATCTCCGCTCGCTGCAACCTCCACCTCCCGTGTTCAAGCGATTCTCCTGCCTCAGCCTCCTGAGTAGCTGGGATTACAGGTGTGTGCCACCAGGCCCGGCTAATTTTTGTATTTTTAGTAAAGATAGGGTTTCATCATGTTGGTCAGGCTGGTCCTGAACTCCTGACCTTGGGCAATCTGCCCACCTCAGCCTCCCAAAACATTGAGATTACAGGCATGAGCCACCGTGCCAGGCCTGGTTTCTCTATATGTTCTATGTATACCCCAGCCCCTTAAGAATTGGTTTAAATGAAAATTCAAAACATTTTGAAAGCTGATTGATTAAATGATGTTTGGTAGAATGAATGAAAGGAATTGAACTGCTGGCTGGGCATAGTGGCTCATACCTGAAATCCCAACATTTTGTGAAGCTGAGGCAGATAGATCACCTGAGGTCAGGAGTTCGAGACCAGCATGGCCAACATGGTAAAACCCCTACAAAAATTAGCTGGGTGTGGTGGCGTCCGCCTGTAGTCTCAACTACTAGGGAGGCTGAGGCAGGAGAATTGCTTGAACCCAGGAGGCAGAGATTGCAGTGAGCCGAGATTGCGCCACTGCACTCTAGCCTGGAGTCTGGCAACAGTGCAAGACTCTGTCTCAAAAAAAAAAAAAAGAAAAGACTTCCTTGTATGGTTTGGCAGTGTGTTTCTAAAAAATGGGAGTCCTAAATGAAAGGAGTCAAAAATACCTCAGTTCTCATGAACTATATCCTCTGACAACATTATTTATCACCTAAAATCAATATCCTCTAGACGTCTCTATCATCTTAGTGTTCTCTAGCACTCCTGTCTGGGTGGGCTGAACCATATCTAGAATGCAACCTCATCCGTTCAACTGGAACTCACCCACCTGGAGTTACTGGAAAACTTGCATTTCACATTTGGCATGTTACCTCAACCATCAAAATAATCTGGAGTTGGTTTATCCTTTGGAAAACTCTTTGCTGCAAGTCAAAAAATCATTAGTCAGAAAAAGGATGTTAGTGACAGAGAAACCAGAGCAGCATAAACAAAGCTGAGATGTTGGCTGCCAACCACTCAACCTGTGGAAGGGCAGATGGAGGGGACGCTCCTCGGCCCTCAGACTTCATACCAGCTTACCAACGCCGTAACTATCAACACCATCCGAGGGGGCCTAAACAAGGAACACTCTTGTGGTTAAAAGGGGCAAGGAGATGCTTCAGAAATTCTAACTCCTCTTGAGTGTTCAGTGCTGTGAATGATCAATTAACAAAATTATCCAGTGAAGCCCCCGCCTCACCACTGCAATGCAAATATTTTCTTTTCTTTTTTTCCCTCAGGATGTAAAGTTAAAACTTACCTAATTCAGTGGTTTTATTTATTCGTTTATTTATTTATTTTGAGACAGTGTCCCACTCTGTTGCCCAGGCTGGAGTGCAGTGACTTGATCTGAGCTCACTGCAACCTCTGCCTCCTGGTTTTAAGCAATTCTCATACCTCACCCCCACAAGTAGCCGGGATTACAGATGTTTACCACCACCCCTGGCTAATTTTTGTATTTTTAGTAGAGTTGGGGCTTCGCCATGTTTACCTGGCTGGTCTGAAACTCTTGACCTCAGGTGATCCACGTGCCTCAGCCTCCCAGAATGCTGGGATTATAGGCATGAGCCACTGTGCCTGTCCTCGATGGTTCAATTTATATGGGGAACAAGCAACTGGAAACCCTGGCAATGTAAGTTTTGAGGAACCTCTAAACCATTCTCTACAGTGATTGTACTAATTAACATTCCCACCAACAGTATATGAGGGTCTTATTTTTAATGTCTTTTTCGATGCAGCTTCATCCTCACTTATTGGGTATGGTGTGGTCTAATTCTGAAAAACCCCCTTATAAAACCACCTATCCCCACTTAGGTCTCCAGTTGAAGAAGCTTTAACAGTGACTGCAGCTTCGTCGGTATAGTTGCTTTTCCTCTAACAATTATAGCTGGGATACAGCGCGGTTCTCCAGAAATGAGTGCTGGATCCAGGGAGCAGGGGAGTAGTCTGTCTATCTGAGGGCAAGTTCTGAATGTAAAAACGTGTCTGTTTTGTATGTACTCATTTTGGCAGCACATATACTTAAAAAAAAATTGGAATGATACAGAGAAGATTAGCATGGTCCTTGTACAAATATGACGTGCAAATTTGTAACTCAAAGATTCCCCCTGCCAAAAAAAGTTGAAGTGTTGACACAAGTGTGAAGACCATGATAGAGATTACCATTTCCTCCACCAATGGCAATTTTGTTTTTAGACTGAGTCTTGCTCTGTTGCCAGGCTGGAGTGCGGCAGGATCTCGGCTCACTAAAACCTCCGCCTCCTGGGTTCAAGTGATTCTCCTGTCTCAGCCTCCTGAGTAGCTGGGACTATAGGTGCATGCCACCACACCCAGCTAATTTTTGTATTTTTAGTAGAGGTGGTTTTTTTTTTTTTTTTTTTGAGACAGATTCTTGCTCTGTTGCCAGACTCCAGGCTAGAGTGCAGTGGCGCAATCTCGGCTCACTGCAATCTCTGCCTCCTGGGTTCAAGCAATTCTCCTGCCTCAGCCTCCCTAGTAGTTGAGACTACAGGCGGATGCCACCACACCCAGCTAATTTTGGTAGGGGTTTTACCATGTTGGCCAGGATAGTCTTGATCTCTTGACATCGTAACCCACCAACCTTGGCCTCCCAAAGTGTTGGGATTACACGCGTGAGCCACTGCTCCCGGCCCACCAATGGCAATTTACCCAAATGTGTTGAAAACTTATGTCCACAAAAAAATGTGTACCTCTGGGTGCGGTGGCTCACACCTGTAATCCCAGCACTTTAGGAGGCCGAGAAAGGCAGGTCATTTGAGGTCTGGACTTCAAGACCCGCCTGGCCAACATGGTGAAACCCCATCTCTACTAAAAATAAAAAATAAAAAAATTAGCTGGGCTTGCTGGTGGGTGCCTGTAATCCCAGCTACTGGGGAGACTGAGGCATGAGAATCACTCGAACTTGGGAGGCAGAGGTTGCAGTGAGCCAAACTCTAGCCTGGGCGATAAAGTGAGACTCAGTCTCAAATCAATCAATCAATCAATCAATCTGCACATGAATGTTGATAGCAACTTTATTCATAATTGCCAGAACTTGGAACAATGAAGATGCCCTTCAGTAGGTGAATAGATAAATAAACCATAGTACATTCAGACAATGGAAAATTATCTAGGAATAAAAAGAAATGAGCTATTAAGCCATGAAAAGATGCACAGGAAACTTAAATGCATTTTACTGAGTGAAAGAAACCAATCTGAATAGGCTACATGCTGTATAATTCCAGCCGTATGACATTCTGGAAAAGGCAAAACTATGGAGACAGTAAAAAGATCAGTGGTTGACAAAGGTTAGGGGGAAGAGGGAATGGATAGGTGGACAACCCAGGATTTTTAGGGCAGTGAAACTACTCTGTATGATACTGCAATGGTAGAGACATGTCATTATACAATTTGTCCAAACCCATAGAATGTATGGACACTGAGAGAGAAACCTAAGGTGAACTACGGACCTCGGGTACCAGTGTGCGTTCATCAGTTGTAACAAATGTACCACTCTGGTGGGGATGTTGATAGTGAGAGAGTCTGTATGCATGTGGGGCAGAAGGTATATGGGAACTCTCTATACTTTCTGCTCAGTTTTGCTGTAAACCTAAAACTTCTCCAAAAAATAAAATCATTTTAAAAAGGCTAATATATTTTTTAAAAGATAGAAAGGAAGCAGAGTGAAAGTGGATCTTTTAAATATTTAATTTAAATATCAGTGTTCAGCCGCTGAGAGGTTTAGAGTAGTCAAAAAGGGTTGTTTTATTTTTTAAATTATTGTGAGTGCATAATAGGTATATCTATTTTTGTGCATACATAATAGATGTATACATTTATGGGTTACATGAGATACTTTGATACAGGCATGCAATGCATAATAATCACGTCATGGAAAATGGGTATCCATCCCCTCAAGCATTTATCCTTTGTGTTATAAACAATCCAGTTAGACTCTTTTAGTGATTTTTAAATGTACATTAAATTGTGACTGACTATAGTCACCCTGTTGTGCTATCAAGTACTAGGTCTTATTCAATCTTTCTAATTATTTTTTTTACCCATTAACCATCCCACTTACCTTCCGCTACCCTTCCCAGCCTCTGGTCACCATCCTCCTACTCTCTATCTCCATGAGTTCAATTGTTTTGATCTTTAGCTCCCACAAATAAGAGAGATCATAGGAAGTTTGTCTCTCTGTGCCTGGCATATTTCACTTAACATAATGATCTCCAGTTCCATTCATGTTGTTGCAAATGATAGGATCCCATTCTTTCTTATGGTTGAATAGTACTCCATTGAGTATATATGCCATGTTTTCTTTATCCTTTCATCTGTTGATGGACACATAGTTTGCCTTCAAATCTTGGCTATTGTGAATGGTCTGCAACAACCTGGGAGTGCAGATATCTCTTTGATATACTGATTTCCTTTCTTTTTTTTTTTAATTATATTTTAAGTTCTGGGGTACATGTGCAGATCATGCAGAATTGTTATACTGATTTTCTTTCTTTTCGGTACATACCCAGCAGTGGGATTGCTGGACCAGATGGTAGCTCTATTTTTAGTTTTTTGAGGAACTTCTAAACCATTCTCTGTAGTGATTGTACTAGTTAACATTCCCACCAACAGTGTATGAGGGTCTTATTTTTAATGTGTCTTTTTTGATGCAGCTTCATCTTCACCAGATTGCCTTCCTCAGTATGGAAAACCCACACCTGCCTTCTTTGGTGTTATATCAGAAGTTGGCCATGGGGCAGCATGATTCCTCCTTGGTCTGTCCTGTGGCTTCAGGAGAAGGCCCTGCTATGTGGGGAGGAAGGAAGACAGTGACTTTCCCCAGCACACCTTGCCCATGCATTCACAGATTTGAGATCTGGTCCCAATACCCACGTGAACTTACTCTGAGTTTCTGACAGAGGAAGCTGCTAAAGTTAAGGACTAACTTCCACCCCTAGTGGACAATCACTTGAGATGCACCAAGGGTTAGGCCACCATTGCTCTGCCAAGGTCAGAGCACTCACTGAGGCCAAGCTCAACTCTAGGATGAGATATCTGGCTGAGAGTGGCCTGGACAAATGGAAACAGAGGCAATGTGACTTCCCCTTTCCCTATTTGCCCAGTTTGATAATGACACAAAGAAAGGAGACACGTCGTATATGCAAGTTTAACAGCACAAGTAAAACTAATAATTTTGCAATAAGAAGTGACCGATGTATTCAAATTTAAGAAGTTTAAAGTACAGACTTGAAGCCTACTGTCCATACACAGTCATTATTAAAGTCTACATTTCTCAAACATTGCAATCCTACCTCCGAAGCCACAGATTCTTCTCTCCTTAGTCCCTCAGGCCTGAAGTCTTTGTCCGTATTTCTTCATTCTGCAGCCTCATAGTCCCGCCCCTGGTACTGAATACACACACACAAGCATATGGTGGGCAAGAGAGACCTCTGCTGGATGAATGACGGCAAACAAGCACGGCTCTGCACTAAGAAAAACAGAATACACTTTTTTTGTTTTACAGTGGTGCTTCTGGAAGAGAAGAAAAATTGTTTTTGTTTCAGAATCACCTTTTAAACTCTTGAGATTGAAAACCAACCCCATAAGATATGTTTTTTTAGGTTTTGAGAAACATCGTTTGCGGACGGTGCCATTTCTACAGCACTTTGCTACTTATGTTGAGCAATTTTGTAAGAGCTCCATATGTTCTGCACACAGGTTCTAAGAGCAGCTTCACAGCCTAACAGCCAAACTGCTTCTTTTCTATCTAATTGCCTGCCAGTGTTCCACGTTATCTGTGCACAGGCAGGGATATGTGAGACATGATTCTCATAGACCCGAAATCATAGGATGGACTTCAAGACTGAGTTTTCAGAACTCCTGGAAAGGATATATGTTTGAGATAGGTCAGCAGGGGTCAAAAACATTCAGAGAAAACTTGACACACCTTGCCGAACTTTTCCCCTCGGCTGCATATATTCAGAATTTTTAGGTCCTTAATTGGGGTGGGGGGTGGGAAGAGTGCGAGTGCTTTTGAAAAAAGTTCCCCTGCACGCAGCATATACCCTGATGCATTAAAATATGCTCAGCTTTGCAGTGTCCTCTGTACACACCGTGTTTCAGGGCACGGCAAAGGCAGAGCTTGGTGGTTCAACTCTCTGCCTCTCATATAATGCCTAGTTATACTGGTTTCTAATCTGACTATGCCTAATTAGGCAATGTTGTGCAAGTTTTCCAAATTTCCTAAGCCCCAGTTTCCTCCTCTGTGAAATTAAATTCCTTGTAGTGTCCACTTCAGCGTTACTAGGAGGGTTCGACGAGATAATATATGGCTAGTGCTTAGCATAGTGGTTGCTGGCCTATAGTAAATGCTCAGTGAACACAGGTGTAATTATTAAAGGGAGGCAAACATGTACACAAATGTTTCCTTCCTTCCTTCTTTTTTCGACAAATATTTATGGAGTTTCTACTATGTCCAAAACTGTATGGGGGACACTGAGGAGTGTAAGAAACTGAAAAACTTATGTTTCTATTCTCAGGGTTCTTTCAGTCTCTCTGATGTTTTATTATTTGAATATAGATCAGTGATTCTAAAAGCTGTTTGCTAACATACCAGAAAATTCTCCAAATTCTCAAGAAAATAAAGAACAAGCTTTTAACTGAAAAATTAATTTATGCCTTTCAAATCTTAAAAGACAGAAAAAGTCATGATAAAAACCATGCTAGGCTGGGCATAGTGGCTCATGCTTGTAACCTCAGAATTTTGGGAGGTCAAGGTGGGAGGATTGCTTGAGCCCAGGGGTTTGAGACCAGCCTTGGCAACATAGACTTCAATCTACAAAAAAAAAAAAAAAAGTAGCCTGGTGTGGTGGTGTGAGCCTCCAGTCCCAGCTACTCAGGAGGCTGAGACAGGAGAATCATTTGAGTTCGGGAGGTAGAGGCTGCAGTGAGCTGTGATTATACCACTGCACTCTAGCCTGGGTGACAGACCCTGTTTAAGAAAACAAAAACAAAAACATACTAAAAGATTGGCAATCATAGATGTCAGTTTTTGAGAGGAAAGTTGTTGGTAGGCAAACCTTTAATTTTGGGCAAGAATAAAAGCAAATTAATGTTAAGGTTTCTCTGGCTGTTTGAAAATTTCTTCCAAAGGACATGGTCAGACATCTCCAGGGAATTTCAAACCTCTTTTCTAGGGAGAATCTGGTCCTTGTGGTGTAGACTGGCACCCCCGAACCATCATCAGGGCAACACGGCTTCCTCCTTCATTCCTCCTTCACCAGCTCTGTACTGCTGCCTGCCAGGTGCCAGGAAGTGCTGATGCAGGTCCGCGAATAACCAAGAGGACATCCCCTGCTTGGGAGAGCTGAGTGGCTCAATCCACACTCCACTCCCACAGTCTCTCATATGGACCCTTCAAGATTATGGTAGCCCTTCTTGCTGCGCTGATCAGGATTAGGGCTGGAGTTGTGAACCCAGAACAGCAAATTAAATTCCTCTCAAACCAGTTTCCTTTAACCTCTGGGCAGGATTGAGGGAGTTTCTTTCTCTTCAGTAGGCAGGTTGTGGACCTCACTTAAACCAAGCAGCAAAGAGGTTAATTGACCGGGTTTGTGGTGTTATTTATATCCATGTAAACACCCAGCTGGTCCTGGCCTTTACATTTGGCCATATCTCAGCAGGGATCACAGGATGAATTTGACACTTGTGAGACTCCCCGGAGAGGTCTTGAGACTGGGAACACATTCTTTTGAAGTGTGTCTTCTGCTTCAATCTATTCTTTAGGCCAAATCCTAATAATCACACCGTCTTCCTTACAGGGGGGTCCAAATGTGGATGAGGCAATTTTTCCTTTTTCTGTCCAAAGAAGAGATTATTATCTTTAAAAAAAGACAGTCTTATAAGAGGCAAGTTCAAATACAGATTAAAATAATAATAATACTTAGCACTTCCATCCCACCTTTCATCTATAGAGCTCAAAGTACTTGGCAAACATTAATTAATTCTCAGATCAGCCTTATGAGGTGAGTAGGGGTATTATCTTTATAATAATATATAAATACTGGCTGGTTCATGAAAGCAGCCACTTAAAAGGGACAATGCTGCAGGATTAGTTTCAAAAACAGTCTTCTCACCTGGTCTAGACTTAATAATTTTGGGTAACACATTGGGAGTGCCAAATTTCCTAATAATATGATATCCTAGAGTGAACATATATACCCTTTCGAAGTGATATCTGTAGTGGTTTAAGGCAGTCTTATTTATTTGAAAGAACGTTTTAATGTTAAAAAATTCTAATTGTGGGTTGTTCACTCTAAATGATGTCAGTCTACACATGAAAGAATTCTAAACTGTGCTAGTGCATAAAGTTTAGTGTGAGAGTCTGGGATTCTATTTCAAATGCATTTTCACTTTGAAGGGGTTTTGACAATTTCAAGGTTTTATGTTTTTACTCCTTGATTTAAATTTTGAGCATATCGCAAATCACCATTCCATTACTTATCAAAATGGGTACCAGCCAGAATTTCTGCCTCACCACTAGAGATGAAAATTACCAAGACTGAGTATAAGCTGACCAGGAATGCATTAAATTGGCTTCCAAATGAATCATACAAAAAGATGGTCTATTTCTCTTTGGTTTCTTTTCTTCCTTTGTCTCCTGTCATGAGCTCCCTTAGCAAGTAGAATAGTATTCCATTTTCCAGTTGCTAACCCGCATTCCCCAGAGGTGACTTCCGAGCACAGCACCGTCAGTGAAGCCCATCGCATGCGGGCTATGCTCTGCCATAGCTTCGGTGCCATCTGTTCTTGTTCTTCCTGAAGACAATGCTTGTCTATGCAAAATTGTACTGGCTTTTTGATACTGAAAAATTAATTCTTTGGGTTAGTAGAAATTATAGTTTTTCTATCCTTAAACTCTCTCTGCATCAAGAACTCTCTTGCATCCAGGAAAACCTCAGTAAACATTAATTCAGGATTGTCTTTGCTTTGTTGAAATGTAAAAATATCCCCAGACTCTGGCTGAAACCATTATTTATTGTCTTGGTTGGGTAAATCCTCTATTTTAAAATCGTATTTGTTGCTCTGAACTCATTGATCCTAGTATGTGAATTGGTTCACTTGATCGTGAAAGAAACCGTATCTACCACTTAACTGTGCAGTGCTGATCCGCTCAGTCTATCCACTTGCCTCTGTCAATGGCTTCACTTAGCAGCCTCAAGAGAGAAAACCTGGCTTTGGTCTCATAGCTTTGGTTGAGCTGATGGTCTCCAATCTCCAAAGTTGGATAAACCAGATTCCTTCACTGTGTTTATCTTGGCCCGCCATGTCTCTTTATGGAGAAAATGGTCCAAATAAAGTGCTTCCTCTGTGTATTTTGACAGGAAACACTACTAATATGCTTTCCTTTTGTTGTGTGCCTTGCTCCTTTCTCCCAGTGTTGTTTAAATATTTTCAGTACAATGACATATTTATTAATCCACTACTCTCTGCATGGGGCATGAAATGATTGGTTCTTCTGTAAAGCCCTCAGGAAAGGTGGTTTCTCCAGTGAGAGTTAATAATATTACCACTATTCATGTAAAAAAAAATGCTGAGACAATCTCTTAAAAATGGAACACATTTATCTAAAACAGCTGGTAAAGAAAGCACGCAGGCCCAGCCAGAGGCGGCGAGGTCAGAGGTCAGGGTTAACACCGATCTCGGTGGAACTTTGAAGCTGACATTTTATAGATTATATGTGTCTCAGTGCACAGTGGGCATGGCATATAAATTGGACTTAGAGGCCCCTATTTGTTCTCTGCATTTTTATGAGCCCACAGAGCTCTTCTTTGAAGCAGCATACATAGAAAATAAAAACTCATTTTAATGTTGTAGAACTATTTACGATAAATCACATTTACATCCTGCCTTTTTCCAAGTATAAGATCTCTCTCTCTCTCTCTCTCCCCCCATCTCTCTCTCTCTCTCTCTCTCACACACACACACACACACACACTCACACACACTCACGGAGTCTATTTCCCAACCCAGGTAGCTTATTTTTCACCTTACAGTATTGTAAACCTGGCTTCACTTCTCTTCTTGCCTTGACTTAGGAATCAGATCATAGATGCTGCTACATTTAGTGCCACAAGGACACCTTTCGTAAGTCATGTGAGGTGATTCAGCTAGAACAAGCATGCTTCTCTCCCAGAAAAATCCCCTGATACCATAAAATGCTTGCTATAGCATGGCGCTTCAGCACTAGAAGACAGCATCTGATTTCAAAGAGATTGAGTTCCACTCTGGAACTAATTATATAATTCATTTTATGGATTTTTTTTAAGTTGCTAGGTGTTTTAACTGGAGGAGGCTGGCAACCAAGAGAGAAATGTACTGGCAGAGATTCTGCCATGGGCACTTTAGCCACCTAATTAATTTTCAATAAAAACTCGCAATAGTTAATTTGCTCTAGACCCCAATGTAAATCAAACTGAGACAAATAGGTTAAAATTAGAAATGTGTGATGGAAACCATGTTTATGGTCAAAATTACCTTTCACCCTGGAAATAACACAGATTGACAGGGAAAGAAAATGAGACCACACAGGCTTTTGTTCAAAGAGACTCTTAAGTGAATTATATATTTTATTAAGGGGAAACATGGACCAAAAAAACAAAGTATCCAGGATCTATGAGATAATGTTATTTTAATAAAAAGTATAGTTTTAAAAAACAGTGACCTTAAAAATCACAAAATTAAGACATTACATTCATTATACAAAGTTGTCTGGTACCCACTTTTATGTCTTTCCCAGGCTTAACATGATGTAGGGTATAATAGTAAAAATACTATAAAGTTAATAAGTTCCTGGGCCTAAACTGGCAGACATACCCATCCAGCACCACATTCCTTCAGCTCCTATGTTTCAAAACAGTACTTTCCAACATCAAATAACCATTTTTACTTTTATGAGAACACTGACATAGATTTTTTTATGATTTTATAATTATACTTCAATCCTCCAATTAAAATGCCCAGACAATATAGATATCTTTGGCCCAGTCTATTGGACAAATATTATTATTAAAGTTCCCTCCAGGACTTTATATTTGCAAAATATTTTGTGGGCTTTAATCATTTTAAATTGCCGTAACACTGCCCATTTTCTCCATGCCTCTCCGGTATTGCTCAGGCAACCATTTCATTTTAACCCACAAACTACTCATGTGATGCAAGGTGAAAGAAGCTAATTTTTTAATATATTGGAATGTTAGTCTCAGGGATTGTTAGCTCTTTCTTCAACCTTTGCTGAACATGGCAATTTAAACCACCCCTGGATTCTATTTTTGTTTTACACATTTGCCAAGTTCACGAAGTAAATTCCCTCTTTCCCACTCAATCTGTTTTTTCTTCCTGCCCCAAAGGAACGACGTTGTCACTGTGATGTCTCCTAATGCACTATAAATGCCGTGATGAATTGGAGGCAGGCTGGTTTCTTCTGAGTGGGAGTCCATTATCCTGTCAGAGTGTTCCTTTCCTGTAACTTAATTTTTATTGTAACAAATGACTAAGTACCAAAAAATGAAACAATGTGATGGGCCGATCTAAAGTGGCCTTCCTCTGATGGTAAGTGGAGCAGAGTGACAATTGTTTGCAGCTGCTTTCCAGAGGGCTCTCTGATGACATTCACTACCCAAATTGGAGTTATCCAAAGCATTTTCTGGGTGTTTATGGAGGATCTTCATTCACATTGACTGACTAACAATACTAATATAAACAAAGTACTTTGCAAAAGAGGTCATGTTAAACATAAGAGGGGAAGAGACAGATTAGATTCTCAAACCTGACTGCACGTAAGAATCACCTGGAGATCTTGTTAAACTAAAATTCAGGTGCTCAGCTCCCGTCAAAGGAGATGTTCATTTAGTCTGCTGAGGTGGGACCTAGGAATAAGGATTTTAAACAAGCATCTCTGCTAAATCTGTTGAAGCAGTCATACAGTTTTATGCTGTGAGAAACACTAGCCTAGAGCTCTGGTCAATTAATCTTTTCAATAAATCTCCACTGCACACTTGACCTGTTATTTTATAACACAGCATTTTTTTTGGATTTCTATCTAGTGTAGTTCACTCAAATCCTAGATCCAATTTGAATATGATCTGTTCACAATTGGTCGATTTTCCCCTCATTTGTTTTGCTGGTTAATAACCAATATATCTGAAAGATGAAAATCGTCCCTGTTACAGATGATGTGAGAATATTAATTGGAATCCATCAATCCCCAGAAATCCAATAAATTTGGTATGTAGGTGACCGAGCCTTTATCTGGACCACAGGGTTCACAGATTTCACCATATTCCCAAATGGGTCTGTGACCCAGAAAAACGAAGGACTATTATCCTGGAAGTGAATGAATTTGGCCTCATTAATACGAAACTTCCATGTCAAATAAATGGTTGCAATATCTAAATGGCATAACTGATTAATGTCTAAATAATACAACTGATATTAAGGTTCTAGCTTTACAGGTGATTAACATTTTACAATAAAGACAGAGCTACTTTCAACCCTTCTGAAATATTAGAATGTTGTTTGATATTTGAAGTTTAAGATGTAATATAGTTGCATTGTCCCAGAAGCACTGAAACTACTCTCCTAAGAAACATGTAGCAACAAAGGACAGAACCGCTAGGTTTTACCTCTGTGGGTTCAAATGGAGTCTATTTTGGAGGCAGAGTGAAGCTGAATAAATTCTAGAAGATCATGGAATCTCAGCATCAATTTATCCATCTATTAAACATTTATTGAGGGCCCATCAAGAAGCTGAGGC